TGAAGCCTGGACAAAGAAAAAATGGCTGTGCAGGTTTCTCTCCTTAAATTTGGAAGCTATAAAGGAGGCTAAGAAGGATGCAAAATCCTGTAAGTCATGCATTTATTTATTCAACAAATATTTATTGACTGTCTACCAGGTAGCATTGCTGTTCAAGGCTTTGGGAATACATAATAGTAAACAGGGCCATGTCACTGCCGTGGGGGAGCTGAGATTCTAGTATGGGAGACAGACAATATGCCAATAAATAAGATAATGTCAGATATCAGTGCCATGAAAAAGTGCTGTTGAGTGACCTGTTCAAGTGGCTAGTGGACAATTACTTTAAAGAGTGTGCTCAGGAAAGGAATTCTATGAAGAAGCAGCATTTCGAGCTGAAATTTGAATTAAGAGAAGGAGCAAAGAAGCCCTGCCAAGATGAGGTTCCCCATCGAGGCTGAAGGAACAGCTAGCACAAATGCCCTGAGAAAGATCCATGTATTTGAGGAATAAATAGCACTACATAGCAGAAGGAACCGTCTGTAGAGAACAGGGAAAGAAAAAGTCAAGGAAGGTAGAGGCAAGGGGAAGAGCCAGATCCTCTTGGTGAGGAGACTGGACTTTAGTCTACAAGCAACAGGAAGCCACTGAAGAAGCTCAGACAGTAGAGTCATATAACCTGAATCATGCTTTTAGAAGATCACTCTGGATGGTAAGAGAAGAGGACCTTTTTGGGGTGGGAATGGAGAGCAGGCATGACCACCAAAGCAGGTAGAGTGAGGAGATAATGGCAGTCATCCAAGAAGACTATCCCAAAGCTCAGTCCTTTGCCCTCTTCTCTTTCCTATCCACGCTCACTCATTTGGTGACGTTACCCCATCCCTTGATTGTAAGGACTCCATATGCTGAGGACCTGCAAACATATCATTTCAACCGTAACCCAGGCGGTGTCATCCAGACTTGCATATCAAACTACCTACTTGACACCTCCATTTGAATGCCTAATATGCATCTCAAACTTAATATGTATAAAACTGGTTTCTGATATTATCTCCAAATGTCAAAACCTGCTCCTCTTGCAGATTTTCCTATCCCAGGGAATGGCAGCTCTCATCTTCCAGTTGTTCAGTTTAGAAATCTTGGAGATATCCTTGATTCCTCTCTTTCACATACTGCAGCTAGTCTGTCTCCTATTGACAGATGATTGGATTTATTTTCAGTTTTAGATTATGCTGAACAACACTGCTGTGAATATTCTTGTATTTCTACTTTATCATACATTTGCAAGTTCCTCTCTCTCTCTCTGCCTCTGTCTGTCTGTCTGTCTGTCTCTCTCTCTCTCTCTCACACACACACACACACACACACACACACACACAATTGTTAGGTCCTACATGTTATACAACTTCAGTTCTACTAGTGTTTCAGTCAGGTCCACTCAGAAGACAACAAACCACACAGCAGTTTGGATTATTGTTAAATATAAAAATTATTAACTGTTAAATACAAAAAAAATTAACTATTTATAGGGAATTAGCTACTAAAAGTCCATAAAAAAGAACTCAGAAGACCCTAGGGCTGAAGGAGAGTATCTAAGGGACAAGCAAATGTGGACCCACGGCTGGGTTTCAAACCTCACTGGAGAGTGTGGGACTGCAGGCACCTGGATGGTGAAGAAGTTCTCTGGGTTGCCCGAGACAGAGCTCTTCCAGTTAAGAGTATAAGACTAATTAGCAGGGAATTGCTACCTGGGACAGGAAACCCCCACTGGGACGCTGACAAACCTGAGGCAAGCCCTGCTGGGACTCAATTTGGGGAGAACTGACAGTTTTGCAATATTGAGTCTTTCAGCTCTAAACATGATCTACCTCTTCTTTTTGGTCTTCTTAATGTGTTTCTTAATGTTGATCAATACATTTTTATAATTTCTCCTAAGATGTTTGTACTTGTAAAAGTTTATATTAAGAAAAATATCAAAAACATATAAAAGTAGGAGACTAAGTTAATAAACTCCCATTTACCCATATGTTATAGGTAACTATAATATTATATAAGTAACTATAGCCTACTAAATAAATGCCTTTATTTAATGTGATTTGTGTACCGGAAATTAGCCGTCCTTTCGCTGGCCATTGTTACTTTGCATATACCCACTTTTCTTACCCTCCCCACCCCATAACAGCGAGGACTCTTTAAAAGAATAGCATAAAAACAGTGCTGTTATTACAACTGAACCATTAACAGTAATTCTCTTATACTATCAAAACTCAGCCAATACTAAACATCTCTGATTGTTCATACATATATTTAATTTTTTTTTTTTTTTTAAGAGAGAGAGTGTGTGAGCAGGGGAGGGGCAGAGGGAGAGGAGAGAAAGAATCTTAAGCAGGCATGAGCATGGAGCCTGACATGGGGCTCGATCTCACAATCCTGAGATCATGACCTGAGCTGAAATCAAGAGCTGGACCCTTAATTGACTGAGCCACCCAGATGCCCTGTTCATACATATTTTTAAGTTGACTTTTTGAATCAGGATTTTTCTTAAAGGCCTACACATTGCATTAAGTTGATGTGTCTCTTAAAGTTTCCCTCTCTCACTCTTTTAAAAAAAATTCTTTTACTAGCATTTATTTGTTAAAGAAATTAAGTTGTTTATCTTATAGAGTTTTCCACATTTTGAGAATTTTGCTGATTATATCTCCATGGTGTTACTCAAACATGTTCCTCTGTCTCTTATATTTCTTCTAAACTGTTAGATCTAGAGCAAGGACAGAAAACTTTTTCCTTAAGGGGCCAGACAGTGAAGATTTTAGGCTTAGTGGGCCCTATGGTCTCTGTTGCAAAGACCCTGGCCATTGTAATGCAAAAGCAGTCACAAGTACTTAGTAATAAATACAATAAGAATGGATGGATCTCAAGGGCATTATGCTAAATGAAATAAGTTAGACAAAGGAAGACAAATACTGTAAGATCTCTCTTATATGTGGAATATAAATATATATATTTATAACCCCCCAGAAGTGGGGGTTGAGGGTTAGAAGAAATGGGTAAAATGTTTTTGTTTTTGTTTAGTTTAAATAAATTAAATCTTTTTAAAAGAAAGTAAGAAAGGGGTTGAGGAGAGAGATGTGCAAGAGTATCAGGAATTATGTGTGATTAAAATGTTCCCACCTTCTACAATGTAGTGATCCGAAGGGGCACCTGCACCCCAATGTTCATAGCAGCAATGTCCACAATAGTCAAACTGTGGAAGGAGCCAAGATGCCCATCGACGGCGGAATGGATAAAGAAGGTGTGGTCCATATATACAATGGAATACTACTCAGCCATCAGAAAGGATGAATCTTTCAAATTTACATTGACACGGGTGGAACTGGAAGGGATTATGCTGAGTGAAATATGTTGGCTTAATTGAATTTAAATTTTAAAAAATGTCCCCATCTTCTCCAGTCTTCAGAAGTTATTAATGCCCAAATAACAGTAGTATAAGACTCTATTCTACTGCCTTTAAGGAGTCCAGTATTTCATTAGGTTTCCCCCCTCAAGTAATTCTTGGGAACCCCTAAAAAAACTGTTCCCCAAGTTCTCCCCATCTAGCCAGGCAATTTTATATTCTCTGGCTCTGGAACAATACTCCTCTCTGCTGGTCATGCCTTGCCATCTCGTTGCTTCTCTAGGCTGTCGTCTCTCTGTTCTTTCCCAAAGGCAAATAAAAACATTTAGTTATAAAACAGTTTAAATCTACATTTAGGGGGGAAAATTAATGTTGCAGTTCGATAATTTGCTACTTATATTCAATTTTTATTCCAAAACAGAATACTTAACATCTCAGTCTGAAGCATTTGCATATATACATATATATACATGAATAAAATGGGAATCAGGGAGTGGTAGATGCAGTAACATTACCACAAGGTTCATCAAAATGTTGCTTCCAGAATTAAAGGACAATCTGCACCCTAAAAATACAACCTTCAAAATGACAGTTCATTGTAACTCTCCAAATGATAGTTCTCCAATGCAAAAAAATTTAAGATTTTGTGTCCACCAGCTATAGAGGTGGCAATGTAAACTTTGTGAATCAAAGAGAAATTCTGTAACAAGTGATGTGATCTCTGGATTTTGCTTACATATACAGAAACAGTTATAATCAGCATGGCCAATCTAGAGCCAAATATATACTGAAAGAGCAGTCTAAGAGGTCCTTGGTAGAGAAACTCTGGGATAATCTGATGATTGAAACTTCCTATATTGAGTTAAAATGTCCATACTATCCAAAGCAATCTATAGATTCAATGTAATCCCTATCAAAATACGAACAGCAATTTTCACAGAACTAGAACAAATAAGACTAAAATTTGTATGGAACCACAAAAGACCCTGAATAGCCAAAGCAATCTTGAGAGAGAAGAACAAAGCTGAAAGTATCACAATTCCAGATTTCAAACTATACTACAAAGCTGTAGTAATTAAAATAATATGGTACTGGCACAAAAATAGACACATGGATCAATGGAAGAGAATAGAATGCCCAGAACTAAACCCACACTTATATGGTCAATTAGTCTATGACAAAGGAGGCAAGAATATACAGTGGGGAAAAGGCAATCTCTTCAACAAATGGTGTCGGTAAAACTGAACAGCTACATGCAAAAGAATGAAACTGGACCACTTTCTTACACCACATACAAAAAATACACTCCAAATGA